AGGGGTTTAGGTTTAGGGTTTAGGAAACTACAGGTGGGGAGCTTAGGGTATATAGGGCTTCTATAAGGCTTCTACAAGGTATATAGACCTTCTAAAAGGCTCCTACAACGGTAACTACCCACCTGAAAATGTCCGAGACTAAGCCCTAAACCCCAACAACGATAACTAAGGTTTCGGTGACAACTAACAAGTAGACTACGTACTACGTGGGTTCATTGTACGAAGATAAAGATGAAGTACGGAAGATAAGGAAGTAATTAAACGCCAAACCTTGATCCCTAAACCCCTACATGAGAGGCATGGCTTTGGGGTTTTGGGTTTTGGGTTTTGGGTTTGGGGTTTAGGGTTTAGGGCTTTCTCCTCATCTGGAGCAACCTCAGCTTTCAGATCTTCGGCGCTGTGCCATGCTCGGACGGGTGGCTGCGCATCCTGAAGGGAAAAGGCTCTGGGGCGGTTTAGGGTTTAGGGTTTAGGGTTTAGGGTGCAATTGTGTGTTTTGGCCGGAACACTTGAACCCATCGAAACCCTCAAGCCTGCTAGAAAGCCTTCCTGGGGAACCCTTAAAAGAACTCTATGCAGCCCAGGTCCTGTCGCCACTGCTCCCTGAGAGAGTTTAGCCGCAGTAGGAGGGAGCTGGACCCTTTGTCCGGCTCAGAAGATCTGCCGAAAAAGGGCTTCATGTTTAGGGCTGCTATAATGGCTGCCAGAAGGGGATTGCTATAAGGACATTACTTTCGGGGGATTACTTTTAGGGGGTTACCATAAGGGGGTGACTATACACAGGTTACTCTAAGGAGGGGATGGCTACAGTGAGGGAGTTACTTTCTGCAAGGGGATTACCAGAAGGCTTGCCATCAGGGCTACTGTTGGGGCTAGGGGTCAAGGCCCAAAGCTTGGGCTTTGGCGTCTTGAGTTTTAAGGCTTCGGGCTATAGGGCTTTATCGGCTCAGCGTTCAAGGTTTAGGGTTCGAGATTCGGTGTTCAGTGTCGCAGGGTCTCGGGTTCAGGAATTGGCCTGTTGGTTCAGGCTTCAGGGATGACGGTTTAGACCTTGTCGTGTGAGGTTGAGGGTTAGAAGATTTCGGGGCTTGCTGCAATCTTCGAAACACTTTCAGCTCAAGTATCCATATCAAGGGCACCTCGTCTAGGTCAGGGAATACTCTGTGGCCTGGGGCGTGCGGCCAAAGGAATCGGCGTTTCTTCAACTAATTACATGAAGCCAAAACCAACGTGCAAAACGACTCAACCAAAACTCTAAGGTCCTAAGGCCTGCACCCTGAACCTACCCTTCCTCTCTCTCTCTCCCTCCCTCTTCCTCTGTGTCTGTCTCTCTCGCTCTCTCTCTCTCTCTCTCTCTCCTGGGCATGAGGGCCTGTCAAAGCCCCCGGGCGTCTAGCCCACCCGAGCGCTTGTCGGGGCTCTCTCTCTTTCTCTCTCACTCTCTCTCACCCTATTTACATATGTACATACATAGCTTCGCTATTCGATAGGTCTCTCGAGTTCCTGATGGAATGGACAGCAAGTGTGCACGGGAAGGAGTGTGCTTTCCAGACTTAGTAGGATCTAGGGCTTGGGATTTAGGGCGTAAAGTCTTGATACTTGATTCCTTTTGATGGACACCCCTGAGCTTGTAGCTTGAGAGCACGAAGCCTAGAAGCCCGGCCAAAAACCATAGCATGAGGTAAAGACTGAACCCAACCCTAAACTCTACAAACAAAACTTATCCCCCCTAGCCTATGGCGATCAGGCCCTTGGACCCAAAACAAGAAAGACATGTCCAATAATTAGACCTTTTGAGTGCTTGTTGCGGTAGCTACTAGAAGGACAATGAATTTGATTCCTAAGGAAGGCCTAGACATGGATGTCTGGGTCTAGAGTCAATATGCATAGTCCCTTAAAATCTCGATATAGCTATGGATATAGCTATGGTATGGTGTACCCCAAAGCCCGATTCTAGTTTCTTAAAGCACCTATATTTCAAGGATTCTCGGATTCTAAACCTTGGAACCAGGCTCTGATCTCAGAATCCCTAAACCCTCAACCCTAAACCCCAAACCCCCAAACTGCCTGTCCGGCAGTGGCGTCCTTTGGCTCAGCAGCTGCGCCCGAGGCAAACCCAGTCCGATTCCCAGCGACACCTGGGAGAAGCGGTCTCTTTTGAGGCGGAGTTAGGTTTAGGGTCTGAATATTACGGCAGTTCTGATAGGTTTTAGTATGTTTAGAGTAAATTTGCCGGCTGGTGAACGAGTTTGATGATCTGTAAGGGGCTCTGGGTATTGTTTCGGTGCTTGTTACGTTTCCGGTTTCGGGGCGTTGGGCTGCAATCACCGCTTCAGATTCACGGGGTCTCGAGTGGCAGCAGGACCTCTAGCCCTCGCTGCGCATTGTCGGCCTTTTCTTTGTTGGAGGGAGGGTGGAGGAGTAGTCACGCACCTTGTCCTGCAACCAAGGAATCAAGACCCATCATCCGATTCCTGACCGCGGCAATGAAACTGAAGCCCCTGATGCCTCACTTCTGCTCTCCTCTGGATCACGAAAACCTCCCAGCTTCCAGCCCTACACTACATGCGCATGTGGAAAAGTTCTGGAAATGCATCGACGAAGCAGCTTGCACATATCCTGTATTCTCCGGCCGTGCTACCTTCAGCGCTGCAGCTTCGTCATCCAGGCCAGTTGGCAGCGTGAGAGGCTGCTTCTCTCGCGGATGCATCGCTTGACGGGGCTCAAACTCCTCTGCCGGCGCCGATGTGGCACCGGCACCTGGCACTCAGAACCATTCTGAGACAAACAACACATACAAAGAGAAGTCTCCAAAGCGCACTCTTCGATACGACTACCAGCACCGTGGGCCCACTGCTCGCAACTCAAGATGCAGTGCAGTATAATGTCTCGCTAAGTCACTACCACTGCCCCTAAACACTAAACCCTTATAAACCCTAAACCCTAGACCCTAGACCCTAAACCCTAAACCCTAAATCCCTAACACTGAAGACATAAACCTCTGAGCCTTCGCTGGGCCATCAGATCTCCTTGATCAACAGCGCAGCTGCAACT